CTCGATAAAAGGTCACGTGAAACACTCAAGGAAGGAGTAGGCACATTTTTTAAGCTAGGGGGCGCGCACAGTCTATTTGAACCAATCAGAGGTAAATAGGTCATAAAAACTAGTTCACAGGTCAGCGTTGAATGTCAACTTGCCACAGCTGATAAAAACACTCTCGATGATCCCTTGTCGGCAAACGAGTGATGGAAGTAAACAAAAATGGCTGCTGCACACACTGACGCATTCAATCAAACGCAAAAACGCAATTTGAGGCTAAAAACAAAGGAAAACAAAAGTGCACGCACCGAGAAGGCGCACGCGCAGGGGCTACACCACTCTAGACCAAACTATCTGATCTTGGACTATGGGCAAAAAAAGAAAAATTTCTTTTCCGACCCAATCTTTGTTGCTTCCCTTGATTATCTGGCACAGCCAGTGCCATAACACTGTTCATGAATCCCTCGAACTACGGATCCCTCGAACTAGCGAGGCCGGTCCCAACGAATTCGAGCTATCCGTGCTATACTGTATTATGGTGGTTTTGTTAATTGTTTTTTGAATGGACATTTTATCTTGTCTGTAGAAATGTAAACGGAAATGCTTCAACACAGAAAGGGCTAATATTTGCTCATTTGTATTTACGTACAATATCTGTCCGAGATGTAATTTTAGTATTTTATTTTACAATTGTGTGCATGGAGTCGGGGGAGTAGAGGTCCGGACAGCTGCCTTGTATTATTTGATACTTTTATCTCTCTCCAGATACAAGAAAAGCCGGCCAGCCATCAGTGTTTGCATCTACCCATTGTTAAATGGAGGTCTGCAAGAAGCGACGGCACAGCTCCCTGATCAGCACATTGATGAGATGACCATTCTCAAGTCCACAGTGTCCATTCGGCCTCAGGACTGGAGCATTTTGTGATAAAAATCTGTAGGGGCAGATTCTTGCTTTGTTGTGATAAACCCATCGTGCACAGTGCGGTCACAAGTGTGGGGCACCCGTCACACTTTTGTGCCTCTCTTGTATGTCGGTAGCTGAAAATGGCCCCGTTGTCAATGGCCAAAAAAATGCCCTACTTTCCTTCAGGGAAAACACCATTACCCACTAAAATGGGTGTAGTGTAGGTGGTTGGTGTTTTAGTCTAGCATTAGAGATACCGGCTTCACAATTGTAAAACCACTGGTTTATTTCTTGGTCAGTCAGGGGAAGTATTGTTCCCTAACAAAAAATACTTACCTTTTCACCATGCTTCGGTCAGGTATTTTGGTGATTGAGCAAAGGGGAGATATGTTAGTGATAGCACTTCAGCACCTAACAAGCTTTCTCTTTGTAAATCCCTCAGGGGGCGGAAGTGATAATTGGGAAAAATACATGCTGGCTGCCAAAGACACATGACAGTAAACTATCACATGTAATCTTTGCTCCCTGGGTTGTCATTTTAGTCTGATCAAGCTGCTCAGTTGGGCCAACATAGTCTGTGGTCAAAGAGATATGTGGGATTTGCAGTTACTTTTTTATGTTATTTATGATAAATACAGGCACTCGCATAGCTCTACAAAAGCAGAAGAAACAGGCAAATTTTTCTCAGAGGAAACAGTTTGGGTTGTCGGGCTTCAGTGTTGGTCGTTATTGTATCTTGTCACTCCCAAGATAGCTTGAGGCTGATATTTTTTTTTTATTTCACTTATATTAGTGCTTCTATACTTTTAGTAGATAAGCCTCTTTTTCTGCAGCTTTTAGTATTTTTTGGGGGGCCTGTCTTTTATTATAGCTTTTGGCTGAGTTGGTCTCTCTTTGTTTTACCTCTGGGTTCATCTCTGTCTCTTTTGTAGGGTTTGAGATTTTTTAAAAGGTGAGTCTGTCTCTTTTTCTGCAGCGTTCGGGTGTTTTTGAATTTAAAAGGTGAATTGTTTGGCCGTTAAGCCAAGTTGTCCCAATTGCAAACCTTTCACAGTCTACTCATACCTTTTGGAGGGATGATTAAAGCCAAGATAATGAGTAACCATGAGGTTTTGAATATGAAGAGTACATTTTTGTGTGATTTATGACAATTTGAAGACGATCTATAACATTTAATCTTGTGTGACTGAATAAATGGCTGTGTTTCTCGTTCTCTATTATTTAATTGTGAGAACAGTTTCTTACATATTTTGTTATGGACAGGTATTTTGACTTTAATTTGACAGTGTGGTATGCTTTTCTCAAAAGCTTCATGTTGGAAAAGTGAATCACTATTCCATGTGCAATGGGTTTTTTCACAAACGCTGTATTGATTTTTACCTACAATAATATAATCAAAACAGGAAGCAGGAACTGGGATGAGGTACATTTTTATTACTTATCTTTTTAATAGCTTTCTGGCTGAAAAGTGGAGTTGCTATCATTTTAAAAAAGTTTGCAATTACTTTCTATTCTTTTCTCATGTGTTTAATAATAGTATAGAAATACTTTTCTATACATTTTAGGATACTTATTTCCTGCTCATTCTTAATCTTATCACGGGTTTTGTTCTTTTGGTCTGATAAGCATTCTGGAAATACCTAGATCTGTAGGAATAGTTTCTCCAATGTTTTTTTAAAAGTATCATTGTGGTCAGCTGCACTATATGATAGCTACTTTTCTCTTTTTCTCTAATTTTGGTATCAGTTTGAGATGTAAATGAGGAGCAAACATAGAGACATCTCATTTTGTGATGCCAGCATCATTTAGGGAAAAATTAATTTGGACTTCACTTCTTGAATTTTCTTTTTTTATATTTTCTTTATTAAAGTTTACACTCTTTTGGGGTATGGTGGGGGAGGGGTCATTCAGCGCGACTGTGTGCTTGAAGAAGGACATGGATATAATGTACTGCCAAGTTTAGGAAAAACAAACAGCTCTATTATACTATGTTGTGTTCATGCTCGACTTCTTTACAGGAAACCTAATTGCCAATGAAAAAGTTGTGAGTGCATAAAAGTCTGTGTTGCTTTCATGGCCAACACCCTCTTCTTTGCTTATTTGATGGATGACCAGTATCCCTTGTTGGCATGACGGAGTTAGCTGCTCCTGTTGTGGCAGCTGTTTTAGTCATAAATGGACAGCACAAACTCCACCAATACCCCATGTGGATTACCGCACTTTTGGAATATTGTTTTGAACTGGTTGATTTCGCACTTTTGTGTAAGATAATTTTTGGAATCTGCTCTTTTTGGTCAAATTTGTAATGCCCAACTCTAAAGAAAAACCCAGTGTAGATGTAGGCCATCCATGGAACAAGCTGACATATTCTGTATATAGCGGTTAGATGCTTCATCATCGAACTGTGAAGGCCTGAGTTTGATTCTCATGTGGGGAGGAGTTTTATTGAATGTCTCCATGTTTCTGCTGAGTTGCTGTCTTTTTGTCCCTGACGGGCAGGGTAAAAGCCAGCCTCTAAAATGATTTGAATTGTGTGATGGGGTTGAAAAACTCCTAAATTTTTTAATCCTCGTAATGAACATCTTGAGAGTTCTGGCATAGGTTGTGTAATAAAGTGTGAAACTCAAGTCGTGAACACAACACAGTAATGTACCAGTGCTTTACATATAAAGGTTCAAAATGGAGACAGTCATGTGGATTTGGGACCAAGTTTGATCTATTTTGCAGCTGAATGTTTATTGTATTCAGGGTAGGTTAATGACAATTTCTACTGTATTTTAGTTTGTGTTAAGGTATCTATATATTTATGTATGTGCATATGTGACGACTAAAATACTGGATTGTTGGGATGTCCTACTTTCAAATATCTGTGAGGTATATTTTTATATTATATTGGATGTTTAGAGATTCTTTGAGGCTCCCATCTGAGCGATGTTCTTTCTGGTTAATTGATTTTTACAACACTTCCTACATAATATAACTAGTGTACTTGGTAAACGTTACTATGCTATATTCTTCCATGTGTATGACAGAGAGTGTCAGAGGAGGGAGGAAAAAAATATTGGTCTGCTGGGGATTGGAAGGCTTGGGTGCTCAGGATACTATGTGAGACCAAGCCCCCAGGTGTCATTTATTCGAGTCTTCCTTAGCCCAGTCTAAATATATGCCCAGAACATGAAACTTGTAAATTTGGTTATGGTGTGTTGTATGACTCTCAGGGAAGGAAAGTGCTTCTTTTCTTTACACTAATGTCTTTTGTTTTTTATATTTAATTGAAGATTTTCTATTCTATTTACAAGCATTTTTTTTCAACTGTTTTGACAGAAAAGGCTGATTTGTTAAAAATTGTTCTTTCCTTCTTCCCTTTCCCACTATTTTGCAGAGTTTTCTTTTAGAAAAGCTGAATTCACATATCTGTAACCACAGAGATGGATGCTGCAAAGGATCCAGAAAGGTTGATCTCTTTTCTTCAGTGCACAATACATAATTTACTGTGACTTCCGAGTTTGATGTGAGCATTGTTGCCGTAATTTGGGATATCGTCATTATGTCATTTCTGTGAAGTAAAAAGTTTTTTCCTAGACAATGGAAGTTGGCACAGGAACAAGTCTGTCAAAGTTCTCAGTTTCATCACTTCAAATGCCGTTCATCTAACTTCACCAAAAGCAACACTTTTTTTCAACCTGTTTTTATCCTGTGAGCAGCAAGCACAACTCAGTTTGCAAAATTTTCCTTGGTCTGAAGCGTATAAAAAAATGAAATTCCGAGGTAATTCAAACCTGAGTGTTTTCTTTTCTTTCAGCGCGTGCAAGTATGGCTGCGACAACGTCGATTTGTGTGTCTGTTGCTGAATCTAATAAAAGTATTGGGCAGTTTCTGGACTGTATTTATAATGAATTTGATGTAGAAGATGAAATTTCGATCCCTGTAATTGAGGAGAGGAAAATTAGACATTTTTGGAATCAACAAATTAAAAAAATGAGTAGCTCCATTTTTTACAGTCAACACACATCACTTGTGTAATCTATTCTTATTATATTCATGGGTCTTTTGTGTCTGTACCTTCACAGGTTACCTTTTGATGAATGTTTTTCTGACCTGCCCTAGTTTTATGAAAATCTTAGAAAAATGTTCCACTGCCAGAACTTCCTGGTTTCATTCTATCTGCCACCTGAAGAGTTAAAATTTCAACTGCTTTGGATCTTCCTGTTCAAGATTCGTACATTTGGATGCCTGGAAGCCTATGGTATATCCAAGTGGCAAATATGCTCACTTATTACAAATCTTTACTGTGAAGTCCGATTAGGCTTTGCTTCATGCTTACTGTCTAACCAGTGGCTGTTCATTAAAAGTTGTACACGGAAATAAAGGTAAGCTGGAAACTTTCTGCATTTCAAAAAAAATCGGAGTGTTTATAGTAGCGTTAATCACTAAGGAGAACCAATAATTTGTTTCTTCCTTATCTCATGTCCATCCATTTCTCTCCTCATTTCTTTCTTATTTCCTCCAGGGGTTTTTTTCTTCCTGTTTCGTTTTTTTCTCATGCTGAGTCCTCTGTGGATGTAGAAATTTAACCAATTTTTTTTTTATCCATACATGTTGAATCCACGCAAGGTAACAGTTCTCACGTTTAAAGGGTGTTTTGGGGTGGTTTTAAAAAAAATAAATGACACATTGTGCATGAAGTCTGTGTTTCTTGTAAGGTTTGATTAATAATTGTTTGTCAGCGTTCTTTCACGGAAGTGGTTTTTGAATCTCATTTTGTTTGGAGTGGCATCCGGAGGGATTTTATGTTATTAAATTTCAGGTCAGTTGTGTTAGATCTGTAGCTTTTTGTTATCCACATTTCCCTCTGGGAATGATGAATGTATGTGCATGCAATTATCTAGCATCTGCATTTGTTGCCTTTTTTTTTGTCCAAAAGTTGCCACAAAAATGCAAAAAAATTCCATAAAAGTTGCCATTAATTTTCAAGCTTTCAACTCTCTGTGACGACATATAGCAATATGTTGATATAGGTAACTTCATCTAAAGCACCAGAATTTTTTGTGCTCTGTTTTAAGCATCCAGAATATCATTTGTGGCCACACAGAGTGTAAAAACGTGAAAAATAAAGGTGTCACAATAGAATGAAATCAAAATTAGAGCAGTACATAAACAACCACAAAAATTAATAAATAAGGGCATGTGTCCACCTATCTGAAGATTGGCCATTTTAACCCTAAGCGTGTGGAATTCAAGATAAAGTACAGAATATTACATGTAAATTATGGAATCACACTCAACGGGCCTGCCAGTGTCAGTATTCGGCTTTGGTGAAGACACGCTCTCACATAATACACTAAATTAAAAAAAGGTAGGAACATCAGATTAAATTACATTTCGCTATATCAACATATAAAAGAAAAAAAACAACACCTCAGAACAATAACAAAAAAATTACCTCACCAACAAATTAAACCCCCAAAAACAGGGAAAAAATAAAAGAGAAACAGCAGAATTATAGAATGTAATGTACTTATATTCTTCACATGAAAATAACAAATCAACGTGGTGTCAACAAGTGACAAAGAGACAAAGTGAAGTGGAAGTGAAAATAAACTTTCTTTTTAAAAGTAATTTGTTTTCGGTTCCTCTTTTTAATGTTTATTCTCCTAATTTTTCCCCCTCTTGATTTCCGCGGCAGTGGCTTTTTTGTTGTTGTTGTTGTTGTTGTTGAAAAATGCAAAAATCGATTCGCGGACCCAAAAATGGCGGCCACGCGTCGTGGCTACGACAAGCGCAGATGCTAGAATTATGATAGTGAATGTGTGTGTGTGTGTGTGTGAGTTTTTCTTTTATACCGTGTGTGTGTTTGAAAGAAAGAGAGAGAGTGATAAAACAAAAGAAAAAGAAAGGGAATGTTCGTTTTGATATTTGTATAAATTAAGTTTTCTCTATCATTTCCATACATTCAATTTGATATCTCATTTAGCATCATAAATGACAACTAATTCAAATACATCCTCTTTGTTTTTTAATTGTCATATTAGACCACTGTTGTGTTTTGCTAAAAAAAAATTTGACAAAGTGGCTGCCACTCCAAAAGCGGGTAACTAGGAATCACCTAATGTTACTTCACAATTCCTCCCAAAACATATTTGAGTATACACTCTATCACTAGGGCCTTCAGAGACAGGTATGTCTAGGGACACTTGACTTTTTTGTTCTTTATAAATGCTGAGTAAGCTTAATTTTTCATCAATTTGTTAGCTTTTCTTCAGAGAGTTATCTTTATGATATGACGTTTGTACAGCCCCCTACCCCAATGAAAGAATACAGGGTCTGGGTACTTTACAAATACAAGTAGCAATACAAAGACAACACAGTGTGTTCTGATTAAATGTTTCCCCCCCTCAAAAGACTACATGCATGCTTTGTGAACGAATGCAACTGCGACTGTTGCCATTGGATTTTGGCTGTCAAGCAATTAAGGGAGAATGTACGGGCCAGGGACCTGTTCTATTTGCTTTTGTGATTCAAATTGTCTCACTGCATTGTGAAAGTTCGTATTGGTTTGCATAGTTTTCTTTGAATCAAACAAAGTGATTTGAATATACTGGTTTTGGGTGAATAAGTATATATGTATGTTTGGACCTCTGTCTAAATGGTCGTGTGTGTGTGTGTGTGTGTGTGTTTGTGCATGTGTGCGTGTGTGCACCATGTTTGCATGTGTGTGTGTGCGTCCATGTGTGTTTATTTATGTTCTCATATTCAAAGGTTGTCATATCTGTGTAAACCTGAAATATTTGTTTTGAGTGTGCTCATGGATGCGAATGGATTGTTTTTTGTGTTTGGTTTTTAGTGCTATTTTCTTATTTTGTCTACATATTCATTATGTAGGCCTACTGATGTAGTTTTTCTTTGTCTGTCTGGATGATTCTGCATGTATGTGTTTGTATGCCCTGCAAAAAAGTACATACATATTTTTGTGACCATAAAGTACAATTATTTTATTTCAATTTGTATAAACGAGTTTCACCAACATGTACAAGGTTTTTAAAAATGTCAAATTCATCTTATTTATTTCATCAATCTATCATGTGTACAAAACATTATCTCTTTCTCCTTTAATGTGTGATATATCAAAACATTGAATAGTTATGTGACAATGCTCTTTCAATGTATAGCTGTGTGCTTCAGGTAATGAATTGCACCAGAGCAGTAATAAAAATAGGCCATTCAGGTATCAAGTGTTTTGGGGACAAATGTGATGAGAAATTTTACGTCGGGCAGCTGGCTTCTGAATATGCACAACTTTCAACTATTACTAATTTCCTAAAAATTATTACAAATTAAATATTGATTAGAATAATAGAACTAGGGGAAAAGACAAGGGACTGGGAATTACAATATCGGTAATAGTTTTCCAGAAATACAGGGTTTAAAGAAGTCTCTAGCTTGAGGAAAGTCATGCTCACAATTCAGCATCAGTGTGAGGGTATTTATCTTTTATTTCCAGAAGGTGTAGTAACATAATTTTTGGTCCAGGTATAAATGGTTGCTTTTAAGCACAAGTGGGCTATCCCGAAAAATGCTGTTTTGAGAAAATTGAAGGTGAAGTTTTTGGACCCTTGTTCAGTTTCTTTAAAAGACAAGGAGAGCTTTCTCTACAATCAAACAAATATACACCCCAATGAAACCAAACTTCTCCTATAGGTAGGGCAGTGCCTACTTTTGGTGTAGGTCAAGATTTCTGGAAACCCGCAAAATCTGGGTTAGCCCGCTTGTCCTCAAAAGTAAAAGCGACCAAAAAATGCTTTGCCAATGCTACCTTGCAAGTATTAGGAATGGGGCTGGAGTCATGCAGAAGTAGTAATCTCATGTGTGAATTTATTTCCTGTTTTTTCTTCTTGCCTGTGTTCTTGAAAGCTGATGAAGATTATTTTTATAGTTGAGACTTGAAACAGCGGCTATGGACACTGAAATATTTTTACTCCAGACAAATCGAAGGAAAGTTAAGTTGATGACCAATTGGAGTCTGGTGATGGCAATTTGGGGTGCTGGATAGGTTATATTTTAATAAATGTGTAACATTATTATTAGCTGTATTATATGATCTCAGACCACATTTATCCAGGCTAAAGATTGTAAAGTATATTGCTATATCGGCAAGAATTTCTAATTGTATTGATCATGAAAAGATTGTAAATAGGAAAACGCGATGGAATGCATTTAAAAGGTCTTCATTATCTGCCAGCTAATGCTAGAATGAAGTTTCAGAGTGCCCTTTTAGGATTTTGTACCAGACTTAAGCAGCTTTTCTATCCTGTCAACTCTTTAGAATGAAATTTGCTACAAAATACCCCCCCCCCCCCTCCCCCTAAAAAAACCCCCCAAAACCCCCAACAAAAAAACAAACAAAAAGACCCCAGTTAGTGGGGACTGTGCATGCACGATAACCTAGCTTTTTTTCTCTCTGGATCTGTCGTATGGTACAGTCTGCTATACAGCAATATTTGGTTAAGAGCTGAGTGTCTAGATTTTCAAAAAACTTTTTTGGCATAGGAATTCAATTTTGCTTCAGTTAAAATGTGTGTCTGTGAAAGATAATAAGCATTAAAATATTGTTGAGAGAAGTTGCTTTTTTGCATGTCCCCAGAGGCATGTTTGGATTAATAGAAAGATACTCACCAAAATTCGTGTTAAATGCATCGGACACAAGTTTTTAAAGTGGAGACAGGTAGCTTAATAGGCAAGTTTCTGATTTCTCACAAGATTTACATCAAGTGGATTGCAATATATATATTAATTTTGGATATCTTGAATACAGGTCCGTGCGTGGTAGAGTTGTTATTGAAATTATGAAGACCCTAGTATAAAGCTGAAAAAGATGTTAATTTTTTTCTTCTTCTGATTTGACTGGTTCTCTTAGAAGAGATTAGACTGAAGAGCAATGAGAATTTGTACTGTTTTGTAAACCACAAAGGTGTCTATATTTTTCTTTCACATGAAAGTGATATTTGTAACAGATATTTTCTTTGACCTAGAATCAAACGGTGAATATGATTGAATGTATAATATATCAAGCTTCTATGGCAACATTTTTTTTTCTCTATTCCTTTTTGAATTTTTCACTTGAATGAATTACGTTGCTTTTGGTATCATAAGCACTACTCTGAAGGGCCAGTGGGAGTGGAGGGTTGGCGGGTACTGTGGTGTGGTTTGATCTTTCTTTCCTCTCAAATATCTATCTTCCTTATCTTTCCTTCTTTTTTTGTGTTTGTTACTCTCTTGTAACACCTCTAATCTTCGGCACTTGTATGACCTTTTTGTGTAGCAAGTGCCGTAAAACTCTTACTAAAACTTTCTCTTTTTTAATTCTTACACTTTTCCCCAGCACATCACGAAGATTTGACAAATTACCAGTGATATTTTAGATCACTGAAGAAGTTAATTATAGTCTACAGCCTAATCTTAAAGTTGTTAAATCTTCAGGGTTTTTTTTTTTAGGGGGGATGACAGCACCCATATTTTAGTTTTAGTAAATGTTTTACGGCGCTTGCAACACATTAAGGTCAAAAAGTCCACGAAGAGCGAAAGGGAAAGAAAGAGAGGTACAGCGAAATGGAGGAGAGAGAGAGAGAGAGAGGTTTTTAGAGGGGGGGGGGTGAGGGAGGGAGGAGCACGAATGTTTGCTAGTATAGAGCTTGGAGTTTTACAAGACTTTTGCTCCTGCTTCCACCAACACAACAACCGATTTAAAGATAACAGAAGCCCCGCCCTCTTAAGTGTTGTTTGTTTGTTCACCTCTTCATGTAACCTATAGCAATCTTTTGTACTTTGCCTCTGAGAATGTTGTACATGTGTATGTGTCCCATATTTAGACTTTAGGCAAAGCTGCTCGGGTTGTATTACAGCATGACACTTGTAGATAATGTAGAAAATTGACGTTCTTGTATCCATC